GGAAGGGGACACAAGAGCGGAACGGATGTGCATGCCGACATCCCAGGTAGTGGACGCCACCTCTAGTGACCGACGCGGGTAACTTCCTGTCACGAATGCAGTGGACTGCCACTGCTCAACAACAGTAAAACACTTTCTCTCTCTCTATTTGTTTCTTGCGTCTCCGCTGAACACCAAAAAACGACCATCGAGTGAAAAAACAGAGAAAAAGAAAACGACAACTTCTAGAAGGAGAGCCGTCACCGCCACAAAACACTCGCAAGGAAACGACTCCGCTGAAGCGCCCGACGTTGCACGCGAAAGGGCCTCATGGAAAGAAGAAAAGACAAGGGACGGAGCCGCCACCCCTCCCCCCAAAAAAATCAGACCCTGACCGAGCAATCGTCGCCTTAGTTGGAGCTGTGGGAGTGGCCGGAGGTAGGGCGGCCGTTCACAAACCACCGATCCGTCGCGGCAGGCTCCGCACCATCACGTTCGTTGCTGTTGCTCGGACCAGCGGCACGGCGCAGTCGCCGATTGGCCGACGCCGCGACCTCGCTGGCCCCAGTTGTCGCTGCGAGCGCTCGCGGCTCCGATGATGGCCGACGCGGCTGCAGCGTCAGCGCGGGCTGCCTACGCGTAGGGGTGCGGCTCGCTGCGGAGACGGCGCGGGCAGCCGTGAAGGGCTGCTCTGCGAAACCGCCGGCGGCGCCTGCGCTGCTGTCGTGAGACGTGGAAGGTTGCGTCACCGGAGCCACGGAGAGACGGCCGCGACGGCCACCACCACCACCACCACCCGCACGCGCGTTCGTGGACGGCGGCTCCGGTCGACGCGGCGAGACCCCCGCCGATGCCGTGGCAGCACCACCGCCGTTCCCACCAGCCCCGCCTTGGATGGCGGCGGCCGCCCTAGTCACCATGTTCTGCTGATCAAACGAGAAATCCTGCTTCACGAGGTCCTGCAGCGCCACCGCCTTGTAGAACTTCGAGAAGTCGCTGAAGTCAACCAGCGTGGGCAGCGGGGTGCCACGTGGGGTGTCGGGGAAGAGAAGTTTCTCCACATCTACGCGGCTCATGCGCTTCGCCTCGCCGAGAGTGAGCATAATGAAGTCTGTTGCATCGGTGCGATCCAGCACACCGAAGTGGTCCAGGTCGACGCCGTCGAAGAAGGTGCGAAGGGCCTCGACGTCCTCCATGCTCAGCGGAATGTCGGACGTCTTCTCCTTCTTCATGCGGATCATCATGCGCTTGATCAGCCGCTCCGCGTCTTGCTTGCTCTGCGAGATGAAGGCGAGACGCCTGCGCCGGTCCAGGAACGTGCTTGAGCGCTTCTCCCGTGCCGCGCGGATGGCGTCCAGCATCTGCCGGTCTTCCGGCTGCTCCATCATGGCCTGGGCGTCCTTCACGAGCTGCGTCAGGTCCCCGCCAGCGGGTGCCGCATCCGTCGACGTCTCCGCCTTCTCGGCCGGGTCACGCGTCGTCGTGACGGTTACACGGACGCGATCAACGTAGCGCGTTGGTCGCCGGCCCTCCGCCGCAGCCGCCTTGGCACGCGCCACCTTCTCCACCACGTCGCGCATCTGCTGCTGCACGTGCGCGCTCTCCTGATACGCCCCACCGCGGGTGTAGCGCTGGAAGTCTGGGTCACTCGTGAAGCCAATCTCGGTCAGTGCGTACCCTGACACCAGGGTGGGCAGGAAGGGGAAGCGGGCGAAGAGGGCCTCGTTGGCAGCCTGCTTGCGCGTCGACCACGCGACGAGGTGGTCGGCGACGCGGGACTGCGCGGCGCAGCTGTCCATCAACTGACGCAGCCCAGTGTCCTCGTCGAGCTCCTCGGCCGTCAGCCGCGCCCACCGCAGCGGCAGATCGCGCGGGTTCTCGGCCGGGTCGCGGCGAGTCGCCAGCCGCCGCCGCCGCTCCTGCCGCACGCGCTGAATGTTCGCGGCGCGCTGCTCCGCCGGCTCGAGCGGCGTGGCGGCCCGCTGCACGATCCACGCCTTCAGCGCCTTCTCCAGCTCCTGCTGACGGGCCCGGAGTAGCGCGCTGGACTGGTTGGTGGCCGCAGCGTACATGCCGAGGTCGTAGTGTTCAAAGACGTAGTCCATCGGCACGCTGGCCGCCTCCACCTCCTCCAGCGTCACCGGACGCGCGAGGGTGGGCGTCAGCGCTGTCAGCACCTCCTTCACGAGGGTCTGTTGCTCGGCCACCTCCGCCGCCTCCGGACCATCTTCTGGCACGACGGCGTCTAAGGAGTAGGTCGGGTACTTGGTTGGCGTTGACAGGGGGGGCGTGACAACCGCCGCCGTCTTGCGCGTCTTAGCCGCACTCGCGCTGCGGGTGCGCTTCTTCGACTCGCTGTTCGCTGCGCTGCCTGACCGTGCCACCGGCACCTCTGGCGTCTTCTTCCGCATCACTGTCTCTTCCGGTGGCTTCGAGATGCTGCCGCGCGCGCGAGCGCGGCTTGTCGATGGCTGCGGGCTGCCCTGCCGCGACTTGGCCGCACTCGACGCCCGCTCCGACGGGGCGAGGGGGCGCTGGTCTTCCAACTCCAGCTTCCGCCCGGCCGCCATCGCGGTTTGGCTCGGCGCCGCCGTCACCTCCACCTGCGGCTTCTGCTCGCTCCTCTGCTCGTCCAGCAGCCCCACCGTCACCTCCGGCGATTCGCCGGTTGCCGTCAGTGACTGCCGGCCCAAGCGGGACGTGCCGCGTCGTCGCGTCTTCGTCGTCACCACCGGCTCCGGAGTGGCCTTGGCAGACGCCACACGCTGACGCGCCGTTGCTGCCGTCGGTGTTGACTTGATGCCGCGTGCTGCAAGACGAGGCTTCGTGGGAACCGGTTTCACCGCCATCTTTCGACGCTGCGCCAAGGGCGGCTGTGGAATGCGCTTTGCAGCGGAGTGCGTCCTGCTCCCCTCGGCTTTATCTGCGAGGGTGGGCACACTGGACTCGAGCTCGTCTATGTCGTGCTCCACCAACTCCCCATGGACCATGTCCGGAATGGCGCTGACGAAGGCGGTGCTCGTGCGGCGTGCCCGCAGGCGCTTCTTCAGCACCCGCTTCTTCGTCTTGCGTCCAGGTGGCAGGTTCTCGCCGGCCTGCGGCGACAGCCCACTAGCGTCGCTGCTCGTCGCCATCGTCTCCGACTGCGGCCGCTGAGAGGCGTCTACGTTCGACACCGGCACCACCGAGGAGGAGGCAAAGCTGCTCTCCGCCACGTCGACCGGCACAATGCGACCGTCCTCCTTCATCACCGACGCCTCCATCACCGGGACGCTCTCAGCGGTCGCGCTGCCCAGCCGCTGACGTGGACCGCCGGAGCGGCGCCGACGCTGCGGACCGCCCATCCCGCCTTCCGCTCCCGACGACGCCGGACCCGCGGCTTCCGACCCGACCGGCATCTCACTCAGCTGCACCGACCCCGCCAGGCTGGTGTGGTACTCGTCCTCCTTGATCTCCGTAAAGACGTTGTCCGGCACCGCGTCCATGTCCAGCCTCGACCAGCTCATCCCACGCTTTTTGCGCTCACGCGACTTGCGCCGCTTCACGTTGCGGCTCGCGGCGTCACTTGTCTGCCCGGCGTCATCGGGGATGTCCTCGAAGGTGACGAAGCGGCGCCGGTGGTGGTCGAGCCGGAGTTGGTGCTTCCAGCGGCGCGTCAGCTCCTCACCGGATAGACGGCGCAGTGGCTTTTGCGCGGCCGCCGTACACGCCTCAGCAGCCTCGTCCACGTAGGCGCTGTCCTCGATCAGCTCCACACTGCGCTTCCGCTCCTCCTTCTCGATGGACTCCATCGTGTCGACCTGGTGCGGGCTCGCCAGCAGACGCTGCCGCTGCTTCTCCAGCTGCTGGAACTCCTCGTCGCGGTTCAGCGCCGGGTTCACGTCGCGGACGCTCCATGGATAGCGCAGGCGCAGCGACGTCAACTCGTGCTGCAGGTCCTCGGCAGCCGCCTTGTACGTCGTCGACACGGCGGTGACCAACGCGCGGTCGTCGTCCGACACCGACGGCACCTTCCCGCCTTCGTGCTCCGCCACCAGCGCGTCGCGCTCCCGCACCAGCAGGTTGTGCACGTCCAGCAGCGGCACCTCCTGCGGCCACACGCCATCGAGTTTCAGGGCACGCAGACGGCTCGACACGGCGGTGTTCACGTCGACAATGCGCAGCGCCTGTTCCTCTGCCCGCTCGCGCAATAAATCTTCGTAGATGCGCAGTTTCTCGCGGTCAATTGTTGCCTTCGACAGCACCTTCCGCCACTTGGACAGGTACGACATAAAAATTGAATCGTCCGCCAAGGAGAGTTGACGCAGCGGGACTCCGTGAATGTCGTTCATCTCAATAAAGGGGTGGCGCGTGCGCACCGCCTCGTCTTCCTCCACATCGCACACTCGCCGTCCTTTCGCACGCGCGGCGGCTTCGTGGTACGTCTGCAGCGCGCTCTCCGCGTCGTTTTCGTAAATGCCAGCCGAGGCAGGCAGCTCAATGTCGCTCACCAACATGCCGGCAACACGCTGCGGCAGGTGTGGGAAGCGCCGCCGCCGCCGCGCGGACTCGTCGCGCTTGTCCGCCGCCAGCTTCATCACGTGGGCGGCGAGGGCCTTCTCTGCGTCGGTGATTTCCGCTGCAGGGGCGATATCCTTCCGCGCCCGTTCCACCTCAGCGGCCATGCCGCAGAAGACCACGTCCTGCAGTGCGCCGATCTCGCCCAGATGCGTCCCAAAGATCGGCTCCACTGGCAGGAAGGGGAAGCGGTCCGCCAGGCTCTCCAAGTCCATCATGTTCGACGTCTCCCACACCGCCTCCTCCTCGGCACGCCGCATTACCCAGTCCCGCATTTCCTTCTCCAGCTTCTTCTGCGCTACCGTCTTCACATGAGGGCGCTGCGACTGCGTCGTGCTCAGCGAGGCGTTGCTCAACACCAGGCTGCTCAGACGACTGCGCTGACCCTTCTGCGGGTTCAGCAGCCCCGATGAGTCCTCCGTCGCCGAGCTGCGACGCACATTGTTGTACTCCGCGTACATGGCCATGAACGGCACATCGCGCTCCAGATGTAGCCGTTGCAGAGACACCTGCAGCTCCTGAATGTCCACAAATCGATACTTGTCTCGCTGCGCGTTCTCCTCGGCGATGTGGGCCGCGACCCGCTCACTCAAGCGTGTCCGCATGGCCTCCTCTCGGTCCAGTACGCCCTTCAGCTTTGCACGAAGCGGGCCGAGAAGGTCCTCCCGCTGCGACGCGAGCCGCATAAATTCCGCATCCGACTCCAGGCCCAGCTCCTCGATCGGCACTCCGTCAATCACCGCAGGAAGGAAGGGGTAGCGGTCGCGCAGCTCACTCGGTGGCTTCAGCAACTTCTCCCGCTCAGCTGCCAGCCGCATGAATTCATCATCCTCATCCAGGTGCAGTTCCGGCAGCAGCACGCTCATGTAGTTGCTTGTCTTCAAGAACGGGAACCGTCGCAGGATTGCGTTGCTCCGTCGCTGTCCACTGCGCTGCTGACGAGCCGCATCTGTCGTCAGCTGACGCAGACGCCGCTTCAGCAGCTCCGAAACGCAGCGCGAGCCACTACCGTGCCCGGCTGCCGTGAAGACGGCCTTCTGACGTTGCAGGAACAAAAAGTAGGAGTCCTTGGCAGCCTTTGCGTACGCCGTGCGCGCGTGGGCTGCGTAGGTGTCCTCGTCCGTCCACGAGTCCGCCCCGTCATCGTCGATGAAGTCGCCCTCTTCGTCTGGGAAATCAAAGAGTGTTGCCAGCACACGCCGACGCGCCTGTCGTCGAGACCACAGCCGGTGTTTGTACTGCGCGACGTCCGTCGTGAACCGCAGTCGGGCGACTTGATTTCCTGGCTTGCGGTGTGCCGTAGCCAGCCGCAACTCCGCCTCCGCGGCGCAGTAGTTGTTGAGCGCGTCCGCGACGCAGCGGTCGTCGCCGATGAGTGCAACACTGCGGGCGCGAATGTCCTCCTCCACCTGCACGAGTGTCGGCTCCTCCTTGACCATGAACGCCGCCCAGTCCGCGTAGGCGGCGCGCAGCGTCGTCAGGTAGTCGTCCTGCTCCACCGAGGGGTTGACATCGCGGACACAAATTGGGTTCGCGCGGCGCAGGCGATGCAGCTCCTTCGCCACGTCCGCCTCAGCCTCCAGGTACGCGTCGAGCAGCACATTGCCGCGCCGCCTCATCGCCTTTTTCGCCACCGCCTCGTCATCGTCGTCGCAGTCCGGGTTCTCCATCACGTCAAGCCGCCACTCCACAATTTCTTCGTCATCGGGGATGTGCAGCGCGGTGAAGACAACACCGGCATTGCGGCGCTGTCGCGGCAGGAAGCGACGACGGCCCTTCATCTCGGCTGCCACCACCCGACCCGCCAACTCCGCCACACGCTCTCGCAACTCGCCCTCCACCAGCTCCACGGCCGCAAAGTCGACGGTCGATGCCCCGCGTAGGCGCAAACGACGTCGCGTCAAACGCTGCACCTTGCGGTCCATCTCAATCCCTACCTCCCGCAGCGGAATGAGTGAGACATCGCTGTAACGCAGGAAGGGGTGCCGGGCCCGCAGCGCCTCGTCCTCGTCAATGCGGAACAGCTCCACCGCCTTGACGTCCTCGGCAATCGCACGTGCCCGCTCGCACGCCAGCGTCTCCAACACGATGAGCCGCGTCGCATTCGTGCGCGGATTCTCCAGCAGCACCGCACGCTCCGTCGCAAGCGCCTCAAACGTGCGGTCTCCCTTCAGCGGCAGGTCGCCCACAAGCACACCCGCAATGCGCTTCGGCAGAAACGGGTACTGCGCCTGCGTGTCCACCGTCGCATTAACCTTCGCCTCTCCAAGACGCCTGGCGACATCGGTGAGACTGCGCTCCATCACCTTCACCGCGCTGTCCTTCGTTTCCGGGTCCCTCCGCATATCCTCCAGCGCGTTCGCCAGCGCGCGGAACTCGGGGTCCTCCAGCACGCCGGCCTCCACCAGCGGAATGCCGGCGACCGGCTCCTCCGGCAGGAACGGGAAGCGTTCGTGCAGCCCCTCCGCGTCCACCAGCTCGTGGCGCGTGCGCTCCGCCTCGTCCTCCGCCACGCGCCGCGCCAGCTCGCCGATCGCCTTCTCCAGTCGCTTCGCCTCCGGCCCGCTCGCAGCCCCAGGGTCCTTTGCCAGCTCCTGCAGCTGCGCCAGCAGCGGCTTCACGTCCGGGTCGTTGGCGATGTCCAGCTCGCGCAGCGTCACGCCGCCCGGCAGCGCACCCACGTACGGCATCAGCGTTGCCAGCGCCTCGTCGTCGCGTGCGTGCTGCGCCACAAGCTCGCTGGCGCGCGCACGCATCTTCTGCTCCACGTCTGCCACGGCCAGACGCGACGCCGTCGGCGTGGCCTTGAGCGTCGCGCGCTCCGTCGCCAGCGCCGTAAAGGCCTCGTCGTCCTCCAGCCCGACAGCCGTGAGCATCTCGCCGGTCACCGTGGAGCCGAGGAAGGGGTAGCGTGCCTGCAGTGCGGCCTCCGCGCGCATCTCCGCCGCATGCACACGCGCCGCATCGTCGCTCAGCTGGTGTGCGCGGTCCTTCAACTGCTCCTCCACGCAGCGGATGGCGTCCGCGTTGGCGGCTTCGTCCTCCGCCACCAGCGCGTCGCGCAGCGCCACGAGCTCCTGGTAGTATGGGTCGTTCTTGCGCAGTGCGGCGACGTGGCGCGACTTGGGCGGCAGCGTTGTGTCCTCCGGCTGCTCACGCACCTCGCCGGCCTCCTCCACCGGCACCTCCTTCGCGTCCAGCATGCGGCCACGGCGGTGGCGCTGGCGGCGGTTGTGGTAGTCGTCCACCTCGCCGTTCTCCAGCGCCACGTCGTTGATGTCCAGCAGGCGCGGCGGGTTGGCGGGGCGTCTGCGGCGCCGCCGACCAGACTCCACCTCCACACCACGCTCGCGCATCAGGTCCTCGACATCGACGAGCGGCGCTGTGTTGGCGACGGGGTCCGACAGAAGCCCCGCACGGCGCGCCGCCAGCGACGCGAACATCGCGTCCTTGCCTACGGCCTCCGTCACTTCACGCGCGCACATCGGATATTGCTTCAGCACCGCCGCGCGTGCCTGCGCCCCCTCGCGCTCCGCCTTCGCGTCCTCATTCACCAGCTCCTGCACCCGCACCGCAGCGGCCTCGTCCACCGCACGCAGTGCCGCCGCATCCGGCTTCGGCTGCGCCGTCAGGGCCGCACGCTGCTGCGCCAGCTGCACCAGCTTCGCGTCCAGCGGCAGGAACAGCGACGACAGCGTCGCCGCACCCGGCGCCGTCACCACGGTCGGGTACGTAGCGCGCAGCCCTTCTTCCGCCGCCAGCTTCGCGTCCGCAATCTCCGCCGCACGCTCCTTCAGCCGCGCCTCGACAGCCGCCAGCTCCTCCGCATTCTCCAGCGGCTGCTGCTTCAGCTCCAGGCGGCGGTCCGACAGTTTCGCGTACTCGGGGTCGCGTGTCAGCGCCAGCTCACGCAGCGGCACACCGCGCACGTCGTTGCGCGGCAGGAACGGATTGCGCGCACGCACCTCCTCGTCCGCCGCTGCCCGCAGACCGTCCACGTTGTTTCTCTCCACCGCCACCTCGCGTGCGCGTGCCTTGGCGGCCTCCTCGATCGCGCGCAGCTTGCTGGCGTTCGCACGCGGGCTGCCCAGCAGCGGCGCACGCTCCGCCATGAGCGCCTGGAACGTCTCGTCGCTCTCCAGCGGCAGGTCACCCACAAACACACCCGCAATGCGTTTCGGCAGAAACGGGTGCTTCGCCTGCGCCTCCTCCGTCGCGCGCAGCTTGCCGGCCGCCACCTCTGCGGCACGTCCCGCCAGCGCCTCCTCCGCAGCGCGCAGGGCTTCAGGTGCGGTGCGAGGACGCTTCCGCAGGTCCTCCAGCGCGTTCGCCAGCGCGCGGAACTCGGGGTCCTCCAGCACGCCGGCCTCCACCAGCGGAATGCCGGCGACCGGCTCCTCCGGCAGGAACGGGAAGCGTTCGTGCAGCCCCTCCGCGTCCACCAGCTCGTGGCGCGTGCGCTCCGCCTCGTCCTCCGCCACGCGCCGCGCCAGCTCGCCGATCGCCTTCTCCAGTCGCTTCGCCTCCGGCCCGCTCGCAGCCCCAGGGTCCTTTGCCAGCTCCTGCAGCTGCGCCAGCAGCGGCTTCACGTCCGGGTCGTTGGCGATGTCCAGCTCGCGCAGCGTCACGCCGCCCGGCAGCGCACCCACGTACGGCATCAGCGTTGCCAGCGCCTCGTCGTCGCGTGCGTGCTGCGCCACAAGCTCGCTGGCGCGCGCACGCATCTTCTGCTCCACGTCTGCCACGGCCAGACGCGACGCCGTCGGCGTGGCCTTGAGCGTCGCGCGCTCCGTCGCCAGCGCCGTAAAGGCCTCGTCGTCCTCCAGCCCGACAGCCGTGAGCATCTCGCCGGTCACCGTGGAGCCGAGGAAGGGGTAGCGTGCCTGCAGTGCGGCCTCCGCGCGCATCTCCGCCGCATGCACACGCGCCGCATCGTCGCTCAGCTGGTGTGCGCGGTCCTTCAACTGCTCCTCCACGCAGCGGATGGCGTCCGCGTTGGCGGCTTCGTCCTCCGCCACCAGCGCGTCGCGCAGCGCCACGAGCTCCTGGTAGTATGGGTCGTTCTTGCGCAGTGCGGCGACGTGGCGCGACTTGGGCGGCAGCGTTGTGTCCTCCGGCTGCTCACGCACCTCGCCGGCCTCCTCCACCGGCACCTCCTTCGCGTCCAGCATGCGGCCACGGCGGTGGCGCTGGCGGCGGTTGTGGTAGTCGTCCACCTCGCCGTTCTCCAGCGCCACGTCGTTGATGTCCAGCAGGCGCGGCGGGTTGGCGGGGCGTCTGCGGCGCCGCCGACCAGACTCCACCTCCACACCACGCTCGCGCATCAGGTCCTCGACATCGACGAGCGGCGCTGTGTTGGCGACGGGGTCCGACAGAAGCCCCGCACGGCGCGCCGCCAGCGACGCGAACATCGCGTCCTTGCCTACGGCCTCCGTCACTTCACGCGCGCACATCGGATATTGCTTCAGCACCGCCGCGCGTGCCTGCGCCCCCTCGCGCTCCGCCTTCGCGTCCTCATTCACCAGCTCCTGCACCCGCACCGCAGCGGCCTCGTCCACCGCACGCAGTGCCGCCGCATCCGGCTTCGGCTGCGCCGTCAGGGCCGCACGCTGCTGCGCCAGCTGCACCAGCTTCGCGTCCAGCGGCAGGAACAGCGACGACAGCGTCGCCGCACCCGGCGCCGTCACCACGGTCGGGTACGTAGCGCGCAGCCCTTCTTCCGCCGCCAGCTTCGCGTCCGCAATCTCCGCCGCACGCTCCTTCAGCCGCGCCTCGACAGCCGCCAGCTCCTCCGCATTCTCCAGCGGCTGCTGCTTCAGCTCCAGGCGGCGGTCCGACAGTTTCGCGTACTCGGGGTCGCGTGTCAGCGCCAGCTCACGCAGCGGCACACCGCGCACGTCGTTGCGCGGCAGGAACGGATTGCGCGCACGCACCTCCTCGTCCGCCGCTGCCCGCAGACCGTCCACGTTGTTTCTCTCCACCGCCACCTCGCGTGCGCGTGCCTTGGCGGCCTCCTCGATCGCGCGCAGCTTGCTGGCGTTCGCACGCGGGCTGCCCAGCAGCGGCGCACGCTCCGCCATGAGCGCCTGGAACGTCTCGTCGCTCTCCAGCGGCAGGTCACCCACAAACACACCCGCAATGCGTTTCGGCAGAAACGGGTGCTTCGCCTGCGCCTCCTCCGTCGCGCGCAGCTTGCCGGCCGCCACCTCTGCGGCACGTCCCGCCAGCGCCTCCTCCGCAGCGCGCAGGGCTTCAGGTGCGGTGCGAGGACGCTTCCGCAGG